TCAGCAATCAAGATGGAAATTACTAGTGTAGCAAATATATAAATTAGTAAACCTAACGCAACTACAAATGAACACCTAATATATATGATTAGTTAAGCTCACTCACCAGAATCGCTAGGCAAGGCACCGGCATTTATTGCGTGCTCGATTGATCGCCTCCAATTAGCAACTCATTAAGTGCAAAGGCCACGATTGTTAATTAAAATTTCAGAAGGACCAAGAAGAAGAAGCAGCTCCTCCATGGATGGACGATGGATGGATGGATGGATGGATGGATGGATCTGATGAGTGTTAGTTGGAGGGTACTTGGTGGTGGTGGTGGTGGCCTTCATTAGCCTAGCTAGGAGAGTAGAAAATATTCCCTGGGGATCGTTGATTGATGGATGCATGTCCATGCATGCGTGCATGTAGCAGCCGCATCGCCAAGCCTGCCCAAACGTGAGAGGTGCACTACCTTTCTCATGTATGCCTGCCTGCCTGCCTGTAGACTAGTATACTCCATTCTGGTTGGTAGACTTTGCACATCAATCAAATTTTCATGCAAGCAAACATGCCGGCCTTCTATCTTTTTCTTTCTTTTTTCTCAGTCTCTACTTTAGCTAAACACGTGTATGCATTACCTTATTTGAATTCGGATGCTTTAATTTTGAGGAATTCTTCTACCAATATTCTTGTTTTCGAAAAGACGGCAAAAGCTTTCCCACTAATTTTATTAGAAGGAGAAATAATACAAGTGCTGTCCCAGTTTTTATTTGGAGTGGAACCCGGATTTGAAAACACACACAAATTCCCTCATACAACTCAACAAAAAGACCGACCCAAACCTAAGACAACTCTACCAAGATTCATACATGTACGAGTTTTTCTCCTAGTGAAAACCAAACGCTCATATTTAGGTATAACTCTATGAACTCATACACTACCTATGAACACTAACATAAAAAGACTTGGCTCACAAATCTTGTGACTTAAACCAGGGCGAGCAATGCAACAACAAATCTAATTGTGCATATATGTACATATAGCATAAATTAAACTAAATGCTTCATGTGCAACAATATGAATAAAGATAAAATTAATAAAAATATTCTTATACTGATTTGTATGAGACGTACTCGTGAGTAAATTTGATGTGTGTTTTCAGTCTTGGTTGTTCGGCCGGCCGTGATCAGATATGACCACAGGATCGCAGGCCAGGCCAATTAAATTAAATGTAGCCATATGACAGGTCCGCATCATATATATATAGGTTAGGACGCTCGTGTAGCTAGGAAACTGCACCCATCCATAGGAATCAGGTGAGCCACCAAATTGCACATACATAGTATATGACAATAATTGTTGGTTTCGTGCACAATTGTTGTATAGGGATGTAATGCATCATCATCTTGCACATAATTATAATCCACACTACATGACAGCTAATTAGTGCAAGGAATCTGATGATGATGGCCATATGACGTACAGTATGTGTGTGTATTGTTCTGGCCCGTCCGTGGTCTTTAAATAATTCTGATTGATCGGCAAAGTGTCTCTAGCACGATCTAATACCGTCAAACATATTTATGCATGATCGAGAGCGAGAGATCATCCATGATCGATGTGACTAAAAATTCGTATATTGGTATTTTAATTTATTTACTTGTGTATGTACAATAGGTGCTCCTTTCCTTTTGTTTTGGTGTGTGGTGCACGTACTGGTGCATGATTAAGTTTTTATAACCCTTCATCTTGGCATGGCTTGATTGGTGGATGGTTGCATTCCATGTAGAAAAATGTAGTCCCACATGCATGATCATGTTAGACCTAGCTAGCGCTAGGGCTTAGTTAATATTATTTTGATTCTTGGCCTATAGTTAGTTTGGGCTTGCAGGAAGCGTTTACAATTAATGCTAGTTATTGTTTGAGCAACTTTGAAATGAGCTTTTTACCTAGTTATTCCTGAATAGGTAATTTTAGCTACTCTAACAGAAATGAACTAGTTACCTTAGTGCTGGTGAAAATATATCTTTTCTGAGTTTGCTGCACTATATGTGTCCTGTTATCTAAACTAAATGAACATCATTTGAATAACATATTTTACCATCAACGATGAACTTAAAGGTAGCAACCATAGTGGAAGGTGAACAAAATATTCTGCAAAGATAACATACAAGTGTATGGATAATTAAAATTTACTAATACCATACATTTTGAGTCCTGTATTTAATTGGGGAGATTTGTGAAGTTAATTTGTTGTTGGAATATTGTTATATGATTCTTGCCATATGCAGTGCTCTTGAGCTTTAACAATTAATTTTTCTGAACTGGTTTGACATACATTATATTAATGCTAGCTTTGCGCAAAGCGAAGGTTTTATAAAATCTGTGCTATAGTGGAAGCTTATTAGAATTCAAGATTTTATACTTAATTGATTCAAAGGCTCATAACTAAAATTTAACTTCTTGTAAGAGATTTGCACATACATAATTAATTATTTATGAAACAGATGTAACTTGCATTAGCATGCTATACCTCTATATAGTTTAGTTAATTTTTAAGAGCATAATTGCATAATTAGTTCCAATTATCTTTGGGTTGGCTATGGTTATGCTGTTTGTGTAAAAACAATTCTGGTATGAAATGAATTATTTAGGATTTGATTATGTTAGCGACCAAATTGCGCTTCTGAGTGCCAACAGATTAGTTTTCATTAATTGGGCCTCTGTTAATTTGCATTTCCTCGCAAGAGGTAGTTTTCGTGAATCCATTCAAGATAATATTTTTTATCACTAGCATGCTACAACATCAACCCTTGTATGCAGTTTTTTAATGACAGTTCTTGAATCATTTTGTTTAAGTCATCTCGGGGAAGAGGTTAAAACTCATAAATGATTGCTGCTCCTTCTCTTGTGCATGTTGCATGGTGTAAAGATTTGATTGCAGTAGAGTAAACAGTAGCAAAGAAAAGGTGCTTATAGCTACAGATAACAAAATTTAATTTGATTGGTCAACTTCTCTTTGTATGGAGACTTTTTTGTTTTGTGAGAACTTTCTATGATGACTTGTGTACACAGGATTTGTCTAGTTTCGTGATACTATTATTTGTTTTTTAGGCAGATGATGTATATTGGACCACTATATAGATCACTAATTAGATGATGGATGCGCAATAACTATCAAAATGCTAATTTGTTTCTGTAAGACTGCATTGTCTATTCATGGTGGTGCCATCGTGTTTCCAGTGTACTTCATTGGTCCGTATGCAAAACGTACAAGTAACAATGCTTCCATTTTAGTACTACACTAACAGTGACACATAGATGTTTAAGTGTCAACTACTCTTTTATTATAGCATAAATAAAAATGGATAAAAACAAGATTGTCTCCTTGGTACTATAGGTGAATATATATTGGAGTTGAATTCAAGGATTCGCACCTTAAGATTTTTTTTATAGTCCTGTGGCACATGCGTACCAGAGGAAAAGCAGCCTTAATTGAATTGAAAATGCCCCATCTGTGAATATTTGGAAATCACTTGTTTTTTTTCTTCTTAACAGTCGATTCCTGTTACATGCTTTTAAGGTGTATTTGGCTCTCTGAGATGGAACAGCGAGAGAAAATAAGAAACATATAAAAAAGAATAAACTTTGCCTTAAGGATTGAATTGGCGTCGGTGGAGCTAGGGAAGAGGTTGGGTTGGACTTCTACCTGGAAACATGTCACCGGAAAAGGCCCCACTGGTGCATGCACATTCCAAATTAGCATCTGTACTGCAAAATGGCGTCTTTAAAAATTAAAAAGGAAAAATATGCAATTTTTGGTAAAGTTTTTCCTATCCTTGGGCACTAATTATGGGCTTAGAGTGACATTATTAAGTCAAATGCCATCTATTTTATTTAGTGAGTATGCATCAGGAGCTCCATTTTAGGATCTGCTATCAACATCGGCGATGTCGGTGGCGCTATGTATTGTACCTAAAAAAAATCAGAGTAGGGCCAACGTTGCTGTCATGCCATGGCATGCTAGGTAGGCAAGCACGGCCGGAGGAGGCTACTACAACACCTGCACACTGGGGTCACGGGTGTGGGCGCTTCTTATGCTAACCTAATGCATGCATGCATGCTCAAGGACAGTTTTGAGACAGAAGAATCAACCAACCAATCAATCAACGTTAACTGCTCTTGGACCCTGCTTAGTGCTTATATATACTATACAGTATTTACTAATAGAAAAAGTTCTGAATTTTTTATCTGTGGGTGTTCAGTAGGCTTGGCAATTCATTGTTTTCAAGACTAAGCCATTGACTTGAGCTTGAGGTGTCTGGTTAAACAAATGAGGAGCGTACATGGCCGGTGAAAAATAATACTAGTAACGACATAGGCCGGAAAAAAAGGCATGCAAGAGTTACATACAGTTTTGCATCACAGATCTGTGCTTGGTAATTTGAATAGTACACTTTGGGCCGGACTGATAACTCTTGAGATCTGTGCTTTGCAATTGCAGCTTTGTAAGCACGTTTAGTTTGCTCTATCTAGTTTCTTTCTCCCAGATAAACCGTACATGCATGTAGTAGTAGTAGGTTGTCTGGGCATCTCTCACACACATGTGGATGTGGGGGGATAAGGTAATGCATTGCTATTATTGCAAACTAACAGGGGAATCAGACATCGGCGTCAGGCACCACTTTTTTTTGTCTGGGCGTGCATCCTTTGTGTGTTGTCAGGCACCAATCAGCCATGCATGGCCGTTGCAAGTTTTGCAGTGCCTATGGTTGTGTTTGTGTGTAGGGGAGGTTGCTCCAAGGAAAAGATCAATCTCCGATCCCAATCACTTTCACACTATTTCCACGATTCCATTGGTTGATGCATCAGTGTGGAGTCATTTCAGAATAACGCTTGGGGATGCAAGTTTGAGTTTGTTAATTTCTGATGACAGCAGCACTGAACTAATCTGAAGTTACTGAACTGAACTGACGAAGCATGCATTGCATTGCATTGCATTGCGTCAATGTGTGCAGGTGGAGATCACGTGCCGAGGGCGACAGCTCCCCGCGTTCCTGACCCTGCAGCATGTCCGGGACGGCATCTGGTGCCAGGGCGACGCTGCCGCCTCGCCGTCGGTGGTGCCGGACATGTCAGCAGCTAACCACCTCATGGTTTTGCAGTACGGCAGAAGACCCTAGTAGACAGACAGACAGACAGAGGACCAACCAACCACCCCCAATCTCCCGATGACAACACTCACAGAAATGTAGATTCTGGCAACCTGCCCCTCCTAACCCTTTTGTCGGCACGGCTAGCTGTTGCCGGACCGACAATAGGCGGCTTGACGGACGACCACAAGCTCCCGACCGCCAGCACGCCGCCGCCCGCTGATCTGCTGAAGAAGCACAGGAGAGGTGTGAAGCTTGCTTTCCCCTCCCTGGCAACAGTCAGTCGGCGCGGCAGTTCATCGGCAGATGACCGGAGGCTGTTCTTCTCCACACAAGTGCTGGAGAGAACACAACAGCTTGGAAGTTGCCTGAGAGAGAGGTTGTACGAGTACTGAAGACTGGCGACTTCCAAGCCATTTTGGCCTTCATTCAGTTGACCTGATGTACTAATCCTCAGAGTTGAGCCGTTACATTTTGTTAATCATCGGCTGCTCGCTTCTGTTCTTTGTTGTGGAAGCAGCACGCACGCATGTCCCCGTTGCTAATTGAAGACCTTTCTTTCAGTTTCAGAGGGCCAACTTGACACCTCACTGAGAATTCATTGATTCATGACTTGACCCCTAGAAGCTCTTGTTTCTTTTTGGTTCATTCATCAGTGGTTTGTGCCACAGCAGTTCAGTTGTAGCACCTATCATGTCACACAAGATGTCAGATGTGTACGTACCATTTGCCATCCTCTTATATTTAATTATTTATTTACTGCGAACTTTAGCAAGCAGCTGTGGATTTTTCGTGACCAAAAGTCGGAGGTCTGTATGTAAGGGTTATTATTTTCCTTGAGGCTCCTCCTCCTACTTTTACATGTCTCACAGAGTACCTCTGCATAATAACAATAAAATCTATAAAAAGAGACACGCTTTCTTCACCTTTTATTTCAACAAACAGCCAGAACAGGTAACAGATTAACAAGGCGAATTCGATGAATCAGATGGAACGCCACACATCAGACGTCTAAGTGTCACCAAGTACCTCCTAGCTCCCTCCCTCTGGACTCTGGTAGCAGGCTAGCAGCAGAGGCAGAGAGAGGCCACTCTCGGGCGCCAGTAGCAGGTCGCCGTCATCAGTAGGACTAGGAGCTGAAGCTGAGCCAATGCAAGGGTGATGCTGAGGTGAGGTCAAGGCCTCCAAGGAACAGTACGCTCTCGGCCGTATGTATCCACGTGTGCTGCCTTTTTTGCACTCGCAAAAAAAAAAAAAAAGTCAAAGTTAAAAATCCAGGGGAAGAGGATACTAGTGCTGTAGTGCACGCAAGACAGGAGACGACGGTCCAACGTGCACTACTGCCACTGACTGAGAAACAATGCAGATGACGCATGCAGTGCAATCAACAATCTCTTCTTCTTCTAGATGTTGGAACGGGATTAGAGTTCAGGATGATGAGGTTAGCAGATGATGCTCTTGTTCTAGACATTGGAATTGGAAGTACAAGCTCTGACAGCAGCACCTCAACAACCATCCGTCACCTGGCACACACGGGATTAAGGATAATAATAACAAGGCTGCACTAGTCTCCGGTGCTGCCTCGTAGCACCTATCATAATTCAGAATTCAGATCGTGGTGGCGGCAGAGGACGAGGTCGAGGCGGCGACCACCGACGGAGGCGGCGCTTAGAAGGATATGTAGTAGGACTGGAGAGAATCCCTGAAAACGAAGTGTACCTGTAAATTCAAGCTTTCCCTGGCGTCTTCGATCAATGCCATCTGGGGATGCTTGCTTTGCTCAAAGGGAGGATTTCTCCCTGGTCAGGCTTTGCGTACGTATTTGCACTGCACTGCACTGCCTGCATCAGCCCAGGTAAGCTTGACATCATCCAGGGACGAAATGAAATCATCTCTGAAGCTTCCTTCCTTCTTCGGCCACTGGTGCAGCAACGGCAGGTTGTTGGTCGATTCCTAGTGTTCTTTTATTAATACATGCAGGAGGTAATGAGTAATGGCCATGAAGCTGCAGAAACGCAACGCTGACTACTCATGCACCGAAAAGAAAAAGGAGGATTAGATTCTTCATCAACTGCCGCACAGGCTGATTGGAGGTCTCCTTGCACACTACTGTATAGATTAAACTAGCTAATCACACACATGCTAAATGTGCCCTGCTGCCTGATCAGAAAAAGCAGAGGGGTGCTAACACAGTGTCAGTTAAGGTTGATTGTCTTGGACAGACAAGGACCTTCCATCCATCAGCTCCCAGTCGCATGCTACCTGCAACCAATCGGATTGGAGCTGCGGCAAGTGGAAGCTCAAACTTAATGCCTGACAAAAACACTCGGCAAGGCAATTAACCAGGGAATCTGCAGATATCGGCTATTTATGCTAATACAAGCTTGTGATGTCGATCGGATTAGGAGAATAAACGGGCTGACTTTTCGTCATCCATGCAATGGACCATGGCGCGTTGTCTCGGAGTCACACTCACACGCACTGTTTGGGGAAGCTGACGGTGCAGCCGCAGCAGCGCACCACCTGATTGCTTGGGATCCATGCAATGGCCAGCAGCACGCCGCGTCGGTGTCATCGTCATCGTCGTCAGCTCATCATTGCTTCCATGGCGGTGAAGGCATTGCATTGCCTTGTCAAGTGAACAACTCAGCCATGGTTGGTTGACGAGACGGAACCAGAGAAGAATCTTGTGAGTGAGCAGGGATCGAATGCCACATGTATAAGCTTGCCCTGCTGAATCGACCACACACAGCCGTAGCAAAAGCGTATTCACAAACTCTCATCATTGTGGTTGCTTCCTTTCTCCTGCATGTATTACGTTTTGTGTTTAGTGGATGATGAGGAAGCTCAGCAGCTACGCCTGCCTGAACCTGCTGAAACCACCTGAACAGAAGGCAGCAGGCAGGAGGCAGGTAGCAGTCGCGAACTCGCGATGGCAAGCATGTGTCAGGACACCGACGCTTCACTGCCGCCACGTCAATCCACTTTGTGCGAGTGCATCATGCAACCAATCATCAGTCAGCTGATGCTGAGTTTTTTTTTTTTTTTTTGAGGAGATGCTGATGCTGAGCTGAAACTGAAACGGACGCCGCCCGCGCGCGCTCTCTGTTCCTGAAACCCTGATCGGCGTGGTCCGGGAAGGGGAAGATGGGCCACATCCGTGCGCCTGGTGGATCAGACGACTACATGGCACCAGCCCATCTCGTTGAAGCCCAAAGAGAGGGAGACGCCGAACCTATTTTTATTTTAGGTGGGCTTACAAAGTGACCCAAGGCCCAAACAACAAACAGCCCAACGGGACGGGCAAGCAAGCCTACCTGCAATAAGACATATATAACGACGGGCAACGCGGCCTGCGGGAACCCTACCCATCCCCCGCCGCCGCCAGTCCTCACCCTTTGCCAAACCCTACCCATCCCCCGCCGCCGCCGCCGAGCAAGCAGCAGCAGCAGCCATGCCGCCGAAGCTCGACCCGTCGCAGGTGGTTGAGGTGTTCGTCCGCGTGACGGGCGGGGAGGTGGGCGCGGCGTCGTCGCTGGCGCCCAAGATCGGCCCGCTCGGCTTGTCCCCGAAGAAGATCGGCGAGGACATCGCCAAGGAGACGGCCAAGGACTGGAAGGGCCTCCGCGTCACCGTCAAGCTCACCGTCCAGAACAGGCAGGCCAAGGTCTCCGTCGTGCCCTCCGCCGCCGCGCTCGTCATCAAGGCGCTCAAGGAGCCTGAGAGGGACAGGAAGAAGGTCAAGAACATTAAGCACAGCGGCAACATCAGCCTCGACGACGTCGTCGAGATCGCCAAGACCATGAGGCCGAGGTCCATGGCCAAGGAGATGGCCGGCACCGTCAAGGAGATCCTCGGCACCTGCGTCAGCGTGGGCTGCACCGTCGACGGCAAGGACCCCAAGGACCTGCAACAGGAGATTGATGACGGCGAGGTCGAGATCCCATCGGCATAAAGGTGAAATTCATACATCCTCTCTTATTATTGTTATACTACTACGGTTTGCTCTTGCTCGGATTGCACCAAATTAGATTTGGCCGATGCTTCTGTTATTGTTTTGTTTGGTGCGCGTCATGGGAAGCTAAATGTTAGTATATACTGTATTGATGTGTGTTTAGCCTCTGCACTTGTGTCAATCATTGCTAGAAAGTTTACCCTGGTCTGTTGTGCTTCTACTGTTCTGTCATTGTGAAGCTCCTAATTACACCATCTGTTTCTTTATGCTGTTGAGTGTTGGTCTAGCACTATTTGTTCTAAATGTTTGCTTCATTGAGGTCCAGATGTTTATTAAGTTATTATTTATTCATTTAGCTGATCATTATGGTTCATTTGTTCGGTCAATTGTGGAAATTAATGGTTTTGTGCTTCAGTTTGAATGTTGATGGATTATATACCTGCCAATTTAGCCAAGATTTGTCATCCTGCCGAATATTCAGTCTGAAGCACATTGCTTGTTCTATCATGAGATTCAACATTGGTTGATGTCGAATGATCATTACCACTAACCACTTACTAATGCTGTTCTTTCCTCAAATAATGAGGAAATCCACTGCATATATGCATGTCTTACATTCATTTCTTGTCTATGCAGACTAGGCATCAAAGGAGGCTACCATTGGTGCTGCTGAAGTGGTGTCGTTCTGCATGCTGCTGATGTACCTTGCCAAGTAATTTGATTCCATCTATTTTTGTCTAGCTATGTTAGTGTTATCTTGTGAGAGACCTCAATGTTACTACCGTATCTTTGTTGAATGGAGAGTTTTAAGCACTTTATTAATCGTACCTCTTGCCCAGCGGAAGTTTCATCTTCCTTTTTGCCCTTTTTAATTTGAAGTTAGAGCTTGCATTCAACTGGGGAAGTGGAAGATGGAATGGAACAGCCTCTGGTGATTGTGGTCTTTCTCATAAAAGGAAAGCAGCTTCCTGATCGTCCTTTTGCGCTTAGCTTTGCCATCGTAACAACAATGTTCTTTCTAAAAAACTGACGACTGGTTTCACGAGCCAACTCCAAAGAACTGCTACAGCCACCT